CCGCAATCCAGTCCTGTAGGTCCAGGTAGGACCTCCAAAGCTAGTGCTGAGGTGCTGCCAATTCAGGTAGCTGTGCTGTAGAGACCAGCTCATGCAATGGTATAGCAAGAAATCTTCACAGGAATCACAGAGAAAAACAAAACAAAAACCAAAGCAATAAAGTAAAAAAAAAATCTTTACTGAAGTTATCAAGGTTAGAAGGCTGCAAAAAATAGAATTTTTGTACACATCAAAAAAACCTCTGCTCCCCGTTCATTGAAGGACACAGGAAACAGATCTGTGATCATGTACCGTAGGATAATATCTAGGGATGTCCCGTTACTGATGCCAGTACCGGTGCCGATACAGGGCATTTTCAGGCGTACTTGTACTCCTGAAAATGCCCCGATGTATAGATCAGATACTGGCCCTTTATTTTTTTTTAAACTAGCTTCGGCCATTGACCCGCATATTGACTTGCATAGCCCCTCCCCCGGAATACCTCTCCACCAAACGCAGGCTCCCTCTCTGCTCTGATCTCTCTGGACGGAAGTGTGACAGCATGGCGGGCAGTAAGTGTTATGTGTGGACAGGCTCTTCTCCCTGCTGGTGCTGGCTGCAGAGCTCTGTGTCCCTTTCACAGACCTCTGTAGCCAGCACGAAAAGGGAGAAGAGACTCCGGCTGTGAGTTCCCCCGCTGCCCCCCTGTACATTAGCTGCTGCTCCTCCGTGTCCCCTCCTTTTCAACTTGGTAAAACTGTTTGCTTTTGGTAATATATCACAAAGTGTGAGATGTCCGTGCTCCTTATGTGTAATGCAGTCACCCGACCTACACAGCAGTTTTCACTCTCATTGAATGAAAAGAATGTCCGTTCAGTGTGCTGAAGGGGAGGAGAGGAGAGAAGCTGTAAATCTTGCCTTCACACAGAATGGACCTTCTCTTCTTTCATCGAGAGGGAAAACTTCTGTGTACGTCTGGTGAAGGCATTATTATTAAACACATAAGGAGCAGCTTTTGATTACACTCCATTTCCACCCATGAGTGCAGATTTTATAAATATATCACATAAGGAGCACCGACATCTGTCACTGAGATACATCACCAAAAGCAAACAAACAGTTTCATCAAGTGGAAAAGGAATTGACACTTGTAACAATAGCCAGCCTGCTATTGCATATTTTAAATTGCAATAGCCAATAGCAGGCTGGCTATTGTACCAGCGCATGGGGAGAAAGTATTTCCCCGACACCAGAGCCAGAGACTGAAGCCACCAGACAAGAGAAGCCCTCTTCCCTGCCCAGCGACATGGGAGACTTGTCCCATTGCGACAAGATGTCCCCCTGTAGGGTCTTGGTGTGATGTTGTGCATAAGCCACCGCCTTGAAGGAGGCTACCATGAGACCCAGCACCTACATGCAGAAGCGGATAGGCGACCAACGACGAGACCTCAACAACCTCGCCTGAGAGCGAATCTTCCGAAGCTTTTGCCGAGGGTGGAAAACACAGGCCGTAACAGTGTCCAGAATAAGATCCAGATACTCCAGCTGCATGGACGGTACCAGACAGGATTTGTTGAAGTTCAGAATCCATCCGAACTCTTCCAAAGAACGCACAGCAAGATCTTCCTCCAGGGAGGAATGCGACTCCACCTTCAGGAGAAGGTCGCCCAGTTACCCCATGATCGCGATCCCAACGCCAGAATCGGGGCCAAAACCTTGGTGAACACTCGAGGAGCCGACGCCAGACCGAAAGGCAGAGCCACAAACAGGAAGTGCTCCTCCCCCACCGCAAAGCAAAGATAACACTGAAGGGAGAGACAAATGGGGACATGAAGGTAGGCATCTTTGATGTCGATGGAAGCCAAAAGATCCCCTGATGGAGACACGCCACTGCAGATCTGATAGATTCCATGTGAAACCTGCGGACCCTCACAAAGGCGTTCAACCGCTTGAGGTCTAGAATGCGTCGAATCCCCTCTTTCTTGGGCACTGTAAACAGATTTTAATAAAACACTTTGAACCTCTCCGAGGGATTCCGAAAAGGATGGGGAATAACAGTAGCTTTGTTCAGGCGCGATACAGGAGGATCTACTGCTGAAGTCGTCGCCCACTTGGTCAAAAACGACTCCTCAAAAGGGAAACGAACCAAAAACCTGCTTCCACTCCTTGTAGACAAAATCATAAAGGAGATGCAAGGAAAGAGCTTAGTGGAACGCTTACTTTGTGTCCCAAACTGAACTGGAGGAAGCGCAGAAGAACTCTGAGCCTCCTCAATCTTAAAGTGACATTAAACCCTCAGATTTTTTAACATAAAACAATACTGTAATGTGTGAGCATGAAAAGGACCGAAAAGGACCGTCCAAGCCGCCAAACACATCAGTCACAGAAAGTGACGTCATGGGAAAGGCATGCCAGCCCCCAACCAAAATGGCGGCTGCGGCTTCTGACAAGGGCGCAGACTAAGCCTGGGGCTCAATTAGTGCCCGCCCACGAGGCTGGAAGACAGGAGACATGCGGCCAGGGCGAGTAGGGACGGCGGAAGAAACACACCTGACCGTAGTCGCGCCGCCACCTGCCTGTATGGAGTGCTGTGACTGGTAGGCCGAGGCCCCCAGTCATATGCACCAGACCGGGACGCACCAACAGGCCTCTCCAATAAAGCAGAGTCGTCGCAGTCGACCCACCGAGGCAGAGTCTGCATGCGCTCGTCGGTCGTACAGGGGAGACGACAAGGATCTACAACATCCAGCTTGTCGCCCTGACGACACTTACTAAAAAACCCAGCGAAAAGTGGGGAAAAAAACAGATAAGAATTCCATAGAAAAAATTCCTAGCTCTTTACTCCTGACATTAAGAAAAAAAACTGGAGACTTTTTAGCAGGTGGGGGGTTTGGCCACCAGTAGGGGCCGCCCCTAGGCTGTCTTAGTCTTTTGTTTTGTGCCTAGGGTACTTCTCCTGCAGGTGGCAATATTACCCTATGGTACATGATCCTAGATCTGTTTCCTGTGTCCTGTAACCACTTGAAGTCCGTGGTGTTAAACCCCTTGCCATCCAGGCCATTTTTCAGTATAAAGCGCTGCGGCACTTTGACTGACATTTATTCCGTCATGCAACGCTGCACTGAAATTAATTTTATACCATGTTTTGGGGACAGGTACAGCTTTCTTTTGATGGTATTTAATCACCGTTGGGGGTTTTCTTTTTTAAAAAAAAAAAAAAAAAAAAAAAAAACTGTTTCCCCGATATTAAATTATAAAAGATTTATTATTACCCAATTTTTTGGTAAAATAAGAGACTGGGTCAAGTCGGGTAAAAAGACACCAAACATGTCAAGCCTTAAACTTGCGCGCACCCGCGAAACATCAAAAAACTACAATACCCAAAATTGGCCATAAGCGACGCTTTAAAAGCTTTTACCGCTCATCAGTTTAGTGTTATCAGTGATTGATGGCCCTAAAATGATTGCTCTCACTCCGACGTTTGTGGCGATATGTAACATGTGTAGCGCAATTGTCGTTTTCGCGCGCTGACACATCTGACGCATATATATATATATTTTTTACACTTATTGTTATTGCTATTACATAGGGGATACAATCCCCCTATATAATAGTAAAGGCACACTGACAGGTCCTCTTTATGGAGACATTAGGGGTCTCTAGGACCCCTGTCACCTGGGGACCCCAAAAGAAGCTGATGAAGCAGAGATCTGCTTCATCGGCTTCTTTTCTCTGGCTATAGCAGCCAGATGACTGACAGGTGAATGCGGAAGTGATGTAATACACATCACTTCTGCATTCACAGTACGGAGGGAGAACAGCAAGGAGGAAGATGCTGATCTCCCTCCCATCTCACCTACTAAAGCCCTTCCGAGCCGGTCCCGGGCTGCAGATGGGCTAGCGGATTCCGGGATTGAAGGTGAGGGGTCAGGAGGCGGGCGGCAGCACTCGAGGGGGGTCGACCAAATCACACCATACAACTGATCGGCGGCTATAGAGCTATAGAGCTTGTATGTGAAACAGCGGGTAACGGCTGTGCAGAACGGACGGGTTTTTCCTGCCCGGGGGCGCGCACGAGCAGGAAACAAAATGCCGTCTGGAGACGGCAACCCGCAAATGCGAGTCTGCTGTCCGTCCGTTTTTTCTCAACGGGCGGACGGCAGGAGGTAAATGAACGGAAGAGAAATTGGCAGACTCAGTGGAGCAGCAGAAAAATAATTTACCTCCTAGGACCCTTGTACAAAACCCAGAAATGCTGGGTAGAGGAGGGGTTATAAAAGGGCTGGCTTACAACTTTTATTGATTGCCAGTGTCCTAACCCCTTGGCAGGCAGCAATAAAACATTGTAATAGAATTCCTGTGTTCCTCAATGGACAATAAAGGAATATCGTATTTTAATTATAACCTGACAATTCCACAAATAGAATTTCTAGTTATTTTTTACATCTTCCTCTGTACATAGCAAGTGAAGTACAGTGTCATGTTTATTTGTAAACAAACTCTTCCAGCCTGCATGTGACCTCCATAATTGGTCTGAATTAATCTGAAATCTGTGGTTTTCAGGGACAGCGCGGTCTTAGAACTAGGTGCACACAAAGCCAGGCTAATGCTCACAGATCACTGATGAAATGTAGGTTAGTGCACACTCATCACAGGGGACCATGCCGGAGAATAATAATCAGCAGCCATTTAATGGCTAAACTATCTGCATTAAGGTAACTTTTTAGTAAGCACCCTTGGAATTTCTATAGTTTGTTTCAACCTCTGTAATTGTTACATCTGCCTGCATGCAAATTTAACGAAAAATTTAATAAGGACATAATTATAAAAATGGATTAATATACAGAATACTTTTACAGCATGTATTAACCACAAAATACACTAAATTTTTTTTTTTGCAATGGTGATCTATAAATCAATCTCTAGTTAGAACTAATGTGAACTTTATCTACAAATAGTGGCATTGTTATACAAAATAATGGAGTCCATTTACAACTGCTAGTACTATCTTGTCCACTTACTTTCTCCCCACCCTGGACAGTAGCAGTAATGTTCTTCAACGCAAGGTCTAAATCTTCTCGGTAACGTAAGCAGAAATTGTGGAACTCAATCTTTCCTTCATGAGGCCAGCTGCTTTCTGGTTTAGTCTCCTGAAGCGTCCATGGGGCCTAAATACATATCCAAAAAACAAAGCATAATTTACATATCCACACTAAATGATGGTTTATGGTTACCAACAAAAAGACAATTATGCTAAACATGAAAATTTTTCACATCTTTGAACAGTTACTTATTGTGAAGGATATGTATGTCTTATTACTAAATGATACTCCCTGACTGCTGAAGGTAGCACACATGCTACAGTCGAAAGTCTTCTGTCGAACAAGCAGGCTTGAAAACGTGGCCTGCTTGTTCGACAACTGCCGAATGGGCCGGTGTGCGCACGCGCACACTGCCCGTTTGCAGTGATCGGAAGCCCTCACTGCGGTCATCGGAAGCCAGCCCCTCAGCAGGGCGGGCTTTCGATGATCGCAAGTACGATCTGCCTGTCCAAGATGGGCAGATCATACAAGCTTTTCATAAGCTTACGACCATCGCAAGACAAAAGTCTTGCGATGGTTGTAAGTAGGGATGTCCCGATACCAATGCTAGTACCGGTATCTGGGCCGATACAGGACATTTTCAGGAGTACTTGTACTCCTGAAAATGCCCCGATGCCTAGATCAGATACCGGCCGTTTAAATTTTTTCAACTAGCTTCGGCCATTGACCCCCATAGCCCCTCCCCCGGAATACCTATCCACCAAACGAGGCTCCCTCTCCGCTCTGACCTCTCCGGAAGTGTGACAGCATGGCGGGGGTAAGTGTTGTGTGGACAGTCTCTTCTCCCTGCTGGTGCTGGCTGCAGAGCTCGGTGACCCTTTCACAGACCTCTGTAGCCAGCACGAGAAGGCAGAAGAGACTGCAGCTGTGATCACCCGCTGCCCCCCTCCCTGTATCTTAGCTGCTGATCCTCCGTGTCCCGTCCTTTTCAACTTTATGAATTGGTTTCCTTTTGGTGATATCTCTCAGTGTGAGATGCCCGTGCTCCATGCTGCACAGCAGTTTTCACTCTCATTGTAAGAAGAGAATGTTCGTTCAGTGTGCTCACGGGAGAGAGAAGCTGTAAATCTTTCCTTCACACAGAATGGAGATTCTCTTCTTTCATTGGGAGGGAAAACTTCTGTGTACATCTGGTGAGGTCATTATTAAACACATAAGGAGCACACTGAGCTCCACTGCCTGCTGTATTTACATTCAGTGAATCCAGTGAAGTAAAAAGGTGACGGTAGAGGTCTAAAAGACCCCTAATGTCACCTTGAAGAGAACCTGTCACCTCCAATGCACGCAGCACTGGCGAGAAACTGCCCTAAAATCATTAGTCTGTATTGTTTTAGAAAAAATGTCACCTGTCCCTTTAAGAAAAAGTATCGGTAATTGGTATCGGCAAGTACATGAGGGACAGTACTTATACTTGGTCTTGAAAAAGTGGTATCGGGACATCCCTAGTCGTAAGGTGTATGGGCACCGTAAGATATTCAACAAGCTGAAGTCCGAATCGTGGCCCAGACAGAACGGTTACTCAGTCCGTGTCTGAAACACGGTCCACCATTTAGGTTGCATTCACACCAGCAGCTGCACTGCAACGCACAGCTGCTGCTATGCTTTCCCAGACAGTACTAATGTATTGATCCCAGCGCTTCACACCAAGTTTTTTTTGCAAGAACTGTATTGAAAAGTCATACCACATTGTGGCCAGCTTCAGTGAAAAAAGTACAGTATCCATTACAGCACAGTAATACCACATACCACATTGTGGCCAGCTTCAGTGAAAAAAGTACATTATCCATTATAGCACAGTAGAGTGCCCCCTTTCATCAGTGGTCTCCATCAGAGTAGGTCAACAATGTATTGCACTCAGTAGGTTTTGTGAAAAGTGTAGTGGCTAAATGTCCATTATTAACTAACTCTCATATCAAGAAATGGAATGTCATTGCATGATGTTTCTGGGTTAAAACACAATACCTTCTACAATCAAATTAAGATGCTCAATGAACATATGCATAGCATCCTGTGGTCCTGTCCATAGTACAAAAAATTATCAATGTACCTGGGCCAAAGTTTTACATGAACAAACAGATCAAATGGGTAGATGTGCAGTTCCCTCAAATACCCCACAAAAAAGTTAGCATATGAGGGAGCTGCAGAACTGCCCATAGCAGTACCTTTTGTTTGGAAATAGAATTGTTTCAAATCTGAAGTAGTTGTTCTCCAGTACCATTCTTAAAACCTCCAATATGACGTCGGCGGGAGGGTACGGAGTGTCCCTTTTAAATAATGGCTTACAGCCTTGAGTCCCAGTACAGTGGAAATACATGTATATAGCGAGGATATGTCCATGGTAAGGAGTGTCCCCCCATGCTACAAGGTTGTTAGAGAAACCGAGGACGCGGCCGTGCGATCCCACATGGTACCGCCTCTCCTGATCCTCTATTTTTTTTTAATATAAATTACTCAATGGGCATGCAGCAATTTTACTTGTACATATGAGGTTTAATAATGTTTAGATCTGTTGCACCATGGTCTTTGACTTGCGCTATTATTGTATGCTATTGCACTTGTTAGTTGTTTTGTCATTTTTTTATTATGGTGGGTTCTGACATCATTGTGATGTCATGGGGGTGGTTCTTGGGGTGTACATTTGTGTTTTCTAGTATATAAAACATACATGTGAAGTTACACATATATCGTATATCATTCTTTTCTTTCACAAACTTTTTACTCGTTTTTCATTACACAGTAAGAATAAAATGGCAGAGTAAAGTGTAAGATCTAAAAATAGGTTTTAAAAATCTTTGGCTTACCTCAAGTCTCCGAAGTTATTATCTTTTGCTAGGTTAATTTTTAGACTGGATAAAGACATGAATGTGTTTAAAAAGTGGCCAGGAGATTTCCTACTAAATTGTAAACTCTCATGAGCAGGACCCCCCTAACCATCCTGTATTGAAACTGTATTGTAACTGTACTGTCTCCCTCCATTTTGTAAAGCTCTGCACAAAGAGGTGGCGCTATACAAATCCTATATAATAATAATAATTAGGTAAAGACATTTGTGGCAAGTTGATTGGTGGTAAAATATAATCAGTAAATAAGGGCAATGTGTGTATAATGCCTGTCTGTTATGTCCCTACAACACTCATGTTGGATCGAATGTGTTCCGCCAAGGATTCCAAGTCTAATACAAAAACAACAGGTGAAAAAGGGAACCTTGGCAGGTGCCTTGGTAGATGACACAAATGAGAAGGGTGAAAACCAAGGTGTCAAACTGATAATTCTTTTTTTTTCTTTTCATTTACTCTTTTTGCCCATAGAAAACAGCTGTTGAAAACTATCTGCTCTGGGTGTCAAAAAGACATCGCTTATTCTCACAGAGATTTATTTTCTTTAAAAAAAAATATATTAACTCTACAACTCCAATTCCAAAAAAGTTGGGATGCTGTGTAAACTCTACTTAAAACAGAATGCAATGATTTGCAAATATCATAAACCTATATTTTATTCACAATAGAAAACATATTAAATATTTAAAACTGAGAAAATTTACCATTTTAGGAAAAAATAAGGTAATTTTGAAATTGATGGCAGCAACCCTTTAAAAAAAAAGTTGGGACAGGGCAACAAAAAGCTTACAAAGTAAGTGGTACGGAAGTAAGGAAGAGCAGGAAGAACATTTTGCAACTAATTAGGTTAATTGGCAACAGGTCAGTAACATATCCGGGTATAAAAAGAGCATCTTGGAGAGCCAGAGTGTCCCAGAAGAAGGGATGCACCGATAACGGTTTTTCGGTATCAAGTACAAGTGCCGATATTTTCTTCTCAGTACTCGCCGATACTGAGTACCAGCGCATTGTGCCACGATTATCACGAAGTCAGGCTGCAAATCATGACCCGTCGCCCAGCTTCCCGATTGCCTGTGACGCCGGTGTTCTAGCGAAAGAACACTGGCTTCCTGACTAATCAGGAAACCAGGTGACGAGTAATAAGGTGCCGTCCGGCTTTCTGATTGGTCAGGAATCCAGGCTGCCTAGTAACAAGTGAAGCTGGCTTCCTAGCCAATCAGGAAGCCGGACGGCATGTAATGACCCGCCTCCCAGCTTCCTGATTGGCTAGGAAGTCGGATTCACTTGTTGCTTGGCAGCCTGACTTCCTGACCATCAGGAAGGCGGGAGCCGGACCATGAAACCACCGCCCGGCTTCCTGATTTGTTAGGAAGCTAGGCTGCTTAGCAAAACGTGAAGTTAACTTCCTAGCCAATCAGGAAGCTGGGAGGCAGGTCACAACCCACTTACGGAGGTAAGTATAGGAGCATTTAAACGAGTATGAGTATATCAGTATCTAGCATCGGTGCAACCATACTCAGGAGTGAAGATAACTGCATCTAAAAATTGTCTAATTCAGAATAATGTTCCTTAACATAAAGTTGCACAGACTTTAAATATATTATCATCTATTCGACAGTACATAATATCAAAAGATTCTGAGAATCTGGAGAAATCTCTGTGTGCAAGGGACAAAAACGCAATACTGGATTGCAGTGATTTTCAGGCCCTCAGCCAGCACTGCATTAGAAACAAGCATGATTCTGTAAAGGACATCACTGCATGGGCTTAGGAATACTTCCAAAAGTTACAGTCTGTGAACACAGTTCACCGTGCCATCCAAAAATGCAAGTTAAAGCTCTATCATGCAAAAAAGAAGACATATCGGAACATGATAAAGAAATGCTGCCATCTTCTGTGGGCCAAAGCTCATTTAAAATGGTCTGTTGCAAAATGGAAAACTGTTTTGTGGCTAGACAAATTGAAATATGACATTCTTTTTGGCAACCATGGGTGTCATGTCCTCCAGACTAAAGAGGGGAGCGACCCCCCGGCTTATCAGCACTCAGTTCAATAGCCTGCTTCTCTGATGGTATGAAGGTGCATTAGTGTGTATGGAATGGGCAGCTTGCACATCTAGAAAGGCACCATCAATGCCGACAGATATATCCAGGTTTTAGAGCAGCATATTCTCCCATTTAGACAATGTCTTTCAGGGAAGGCCCTACATATTCCAGAAGGACAATGCTAAACTGCATACTGTATCTATGACAACAGCATGGCTTCATAGTAGAAGAGTCCGGGTGATTAATTGGCATAGATTACACCAATTGAAAATATTTGGTGGATGTTCAGAGGCTCCTATGATTTTGACGAATGTCTATAATGCCTGGTGGAGCACACAGGAGGCTTCAGCACCAACACCTCCCACAGCAACCCCCATTGCTCTTATTGATTACTCCATTAACCCATTCATCACCTCCCTGGGCACTCTCCCTGGACAATATCCACAAAGCAAGTGTACAGCTTCTTCCACCTCACCTGGCTCCACGCCAACGTCAAAGACTCTCCCCCACCATACCATCCTTGGAGTACCTGTCTAAAAGCCAACCGGGATCAAAAGTTCGACCAACCTACAATAAAGTCTGGCGACGTACACTGTACGTCGTGAGTCACGAAGGGGTTAAAGATACTCTAGAAAATAGTTTTCCATTCTTCGTCGCTACTATCGCTACACACCAAACCCACTGGTGAGTTTAGAAAGCACTTCTCTTCCATATATTTGCACGGTCTCTGACCAACTTGCATTCTTTTTCTTTCTCCACGCCCATCTGGACGCACCACCCCCAAAAAAAACCTCTTCAAATGATCCACCTCTGCCCACCTGTCACCCCAACCAGACCTCACGACACCACCAGGAGGTCATCACCTGTGTACCCATTCATCTCATCACAGGTGAGGGTTCACCGCCCATTTCATTGTTATTTTCCCTGGTCTATCCACCTCCATAAAGTCTGCGCCAGTCACTTGCGCTCCTTCCCTCCCTTTCCTAGCCAATCAGGAAGCCGGTAGGCGGGACATGGTGTGTCCAGCCAGTAAGTTATGCGTCTTCCTAGCCAATCAGGAAGCCGGGAGACGCATAACCCACTGCCCGGCTTGCTGAGTGGCCTGGAAGCTGTCTTCATACTCCCTTGCGGCACTGTCGGTACGAGGGAGAGCTCCCTCTGAGCAGAAGATCCGGTATCGGGGGTAAGTATCGGAGCATTTGGGCGAGTACGAGTATTGGTGCATCCATCAGTGGAAGAGTTTACAAGGATACAGAGGGAGTCTTACAAACCAAAATATATAGAAAACCAACATTGTAATTCCTTTTTACATTGGGACAGCCATAATCCTGCCCCTATAAAGAGTGGTATCCCAGTGGGACACCTTATCAGACCAAAAAGGAATTGCTCTCCCGAGGATGAATTTGAAAAGGAATGTGATTAATTGTTGAAAAGAGGGGATACCCAGAAGAAAAAAAAAAAGTGTTGAAAACTGCATATTATGGAACAAAAAATAAAAAAAAGGGAAAATCTATTGAGAAATCGAGATACGGAGGAAAATCAGTCAGTTCGGATTGTTGGCGATTATACGGCACAATCCAGTTATATCTATAATATAATTGATAAATATTGGCCAATTTCACTGCAAGATGAAACCTTGAGGGTGTATTACATGAACATCAAATCATTACTCATCAAAGGGGAAAGAATTTACGTGATAGACTATTGCACAGCCATTTAGAAACAAAGAAAAAGAAAACAAGAAAATAAAACCTGGTTACCGAAACCACCAAACGGTTTGTACCATTGTGGTCATTGCAAAGCTTGTGAATACATGCCTACTGTCAAGGAATTTAAAAATCCAAAAGACAGCTCGATGGTGAAGATAGAATCTTTCATTAATAGTAGTACAACTGGATTGGTATAGAATGTAAAATTTACTTGTACCATGCTATACGTGGGAAAGACAATTAGACAGCTGAGGAGACGCGTATTTGAACATATGAATGATATGATCCTAAAAAGAGATAAACCAATTCCACGACATATGTGGGGATTGCAAGTATTAAAATTGGGCCCTAGAAGAGGAAACTTGAATGATAAGCTGTTACGAACCGAGGCAAGATAGATATTTAATTGGGCACCATGAACCAGAATGGCTTGAATGAAGCCTTGGCCTTCCTCCATTTATTTGATGACTACTAATCAAATAAATAAAAATGTGTAAAAATGAGAAATAATGAATTTGTATATAATTAAATGAACATAATTAATGCATCTATGAGATATTTAAAAAAATGTTTTATATATGTAAATTAAAAAAAGTAGAAGTAAACATTCATTTTGTTGCAATCACAGGCCAGATAAAGCAGAAAAGAATGAATATATGAAAAAGTGAAATATTATATAAAAAATAAAATAAGGTAATAGCCTTGAAATTGAGGAAAGGGTAAAAAAAAGGCAGCGCAAATAGAGAGAATGCGGTAATATTACCCTCCATTAGATACAGAGAGGAATCCTAAGTGACATCACAGGAAGGGACATCATGAAATAGGAACCTATATATAGGCGACGCACCATGTGGCCCTAGGTAGTTTGTTTTCCCAGTGATGACACAATTTGAACAGACCCCTGATGAAGCCTGAATAGGGGTGAAACACAATGTGCATGGGTGCTTAGGGATTATTGAACGGCAAAAAATAAATTTGATAGAAGAATGTAAATGGAGATAAAAGTAAAAGGGATTACAAAGGTCAATAGAGGTGTAAATAGAAATACCTCGCCCTAAAATGGAATGGGTGCTAAAGGAAAGAGGAAAAAAAAAGTTTAATAAATGTAAAAGACATGCCACACTTCTTATACATTTATTATTATATATAAAAACATATTGATCACGCTAATAAACCGTGAACTTTAAATATAATCATTTTTAGAATGTGTTTCCGGAGATCTGAAAATTATTTTAAAGGTTCCTCTGTGATTAAAAGCTTAAGAAGAGTTGATCAATATACATACAATATAAAACATGTATTACATTTTTAAACATCTGTACTTAAAAAATTCACATTCATTGTTAAGGATTATTTTCATCAAGCGGTGTCTTAGATCTAAAAAGTAATTGGAAAGACTGCATGTTCCTTTTAATTTGATAAGATACCTGCCTTTTTTATCCTAGCTGTAAAAATGTTTATCTCCATATTCAGCTGGGTTAAGCACAATCTTATGCCTGGGGATGCAGACAGATGCTTGCTGGATGACTGCTCTCAGGGAGAACATTGACTTAAATATTGCCAATTTAACCCCACTGAAATAAGAGGCCATGGTAGGGTGAGCCTATATCACTTCCCACCTTCCACTTCTCTGCACAAGCTTGACAAGCATGTTCAATCCAATTAACTCAACTATGATCCCACTAGCTGTCAGAGGGCAATGAGATTGTGTTTGCAGAGACAGCCACTCTTAAATGTCGCTAGGTGCTCTAAACACCACTATAAAGGAAATAAGCAGAACTCCTCAAATGGTTGCATTGTACCTCTTGCTCCAGATCAGAATACTCCTTCACTCGCTCCACTGCGACTATATTGGTTTCCAGTTCTGAAGACATCCTCACTAGCCAATTCAGGTAGGTTGTCACCTATAACAGAGAAAAACAAAATAAAAAAGCATAGACTAAAATGCACGTTTACATAAATCTTTTTTTTCTCACCTTTAACATTTTAATTTTGCACCAGCAGAATCATAAACCAGCTTCTATCTATGGAATGGCGATGATATTCCTGCGGCAGGCAACCCTGCCCCATTAATTTAAAGACGCATTGAAATTGTCAATTACTTGAAGCCTGATTCCAGTATTAATCTACTCCATTTAATGCAGAATCCATTTTAAAGTGTAACACTTAAGATTTACAATTGATGTAGCAGTTACTAAAGGTGCCCATACACCTTACGATTATCGGACGATTTTCGTATGCGATCGACTTTTTGTTCGATAATCGTATGTGTGCATTGCAGTGTCCGACCGACATTACTGTACAATCGTACGACTTTTGACGGTCAAGCATGTTTGAAAACTTTGCTAGATCGTACGATTTTCGTAAGGTTGCTGGCGTTTCCATCCGCCAAAAGTCGTACGATCTTGCGCTAACGAAAATACGGCAAATCAATTACCGCATTTCGTCCCGGTGCTTTTCGCTAATTACGGCTAAATTAATCTTGCGATCATCGGGGCAGGATGGGGCTGCCGTACGACAATTGTACGACTATTCAATCGGACGAAAAGTTTTGTCCGATAATCGTAAGGTGTATGGGCACCTTAAGAAAACAGAAGTGGCAATTTTCGAGAGATGCTAAAAGAAAATCATGTTATTTACTTTGGCAGGAAGCCAAAAGAAAATAAATATCAGTTTTGGGTTAAAACTTCAAATGTATGGAATCTGCTTTGAAATGGTGCAGCTAGAAATTGATAAATATTGAAAAATTCCAATGCTACCTTTTTGAGAGATTTTACTACCAAACTAAATTTCCATCATAAGGGACAATGGCTGCTAGCATCATTACAAATGTAGAAACTTTCAGAATGCTTGTTATCCTAGCTAAATTCAAGCAACACATAAAAACACTAATTCAAGAATGGGTCCTTGTTAGTAGGCTTGCTATAGTTTGTCTTCTTTTTTTTATGTACGTTACTTGATAACGACCTTTACAGGTCAGATAAATAAATGCATTTTGATTAGGATGTTCTGCATTTTTTTTTTCATATGAGTATATTACTTTAGGATTACAAGTGTAAAGCAGAACCCTAAAATAGAACTCCCTTATATATACAATATAACCAAACAGCTTCCTCAAGAAAAGGAAATGATTACATAAAAAGGTGACTTAAAAGCCCTGCTTGAATATTACTGAAGTATTTCATATTCATACAAGGCTTCTATGCAGGCACTGCAAACCATTTATCTACCACTAAACCGACAAAGAGAAATTACGGAGTACTTTACAGTGGAAATGTTAATGCCAGTGAATGCAAAGATATTCAAACCCAAGTTCTATCAAATTCTTGTCAGATAACTTTCCAGAATTTTCCAAGCATTTAGCAAATGTTTAGAAAGCTCTCTCAAAGCATTCACAAATCTCACCTGGTGGCTAAAACTTCTCAATTAATATGTGAAAAAGTACTTATGACACTTACACTTACAGATAAATATAAGATTTAAGATAGGGATTGTGGATAGCAGGAATTAGTTTAACTTTTTATATAATTTTATTATTACTATTTTAGTATTTCTATAATGTTATTATTGCTGAACACTGGAAGAAATAGGAATAAGAAAAAAAAAATGGAAAAAAATAGGAAAAATATAAATAATATCAAGA